TAACTTACATCATCCTCTTTTAATTCAAGCACCGAAGACAAATCCCATTCTGTGGTTGGCAAGGGCTGCGAAATAAAGCGAGCTGCAGTCGCAACCGCTGGTATAGCATGTTTCTGTAGCGACACGACCTCCCATAAAGAGCTATCTAAAGCGTTGGATTTTGTGGGATCGCGCTCTTCCATGATAAATGGGTCACGGGAAACTTAATAATATAAAAAATGTATATGTTTAAGTAATTTGGTATAATTTATATAATTCTTCTCGATTATTATGTAGTACCTTCAATAGCGTCTTGTGCGCATATAAGTCGTTTTAGGCCGGAATGGCGTAATATCAAGTTGCCAATGAAATGTAAAATAATTATAGCATCTTGTGGCGGCGCAATTATGCTAAGTCGTGCCAGACGCTTAACAAATGCTGCTACCAAATTTTCAGGTAGATGTGTAGAGCTTAAAAATATATCCGCCAGATAAAACAAACGTGCCTTAAATTTTGTGTGGAAAATTTCTGGCTCAAACATAGAATACAACTTCTCATATATATTTGGATATGTAATATTATGCTTCTGTATGAGAGTGAAAATGCCTTGCAATGCTAGTAAGCTGACTGGACCACCTAAATTAAAAATTTCAATATGTGTTCTTTTTTTATTAATTCGAAATTTGATTTGATACCGCAATCAAGTGAATCCATAAGAAAATCCGTCAGCAATATAGGTTTATCCAAATGAGGCAAAATTCGTTCCAACAATACGATAAGCATTTGTCTGTGCACTGGCTCCTGTATTCCATCAGTCCATTGCATCATGCAAAGCCATACTTTATTAATACATTTTCGAGTTTGTACATAGTCGAAGCTTTCAAGTTGTGATGATACTCCAACAGGTTCTGTGATGCATAATAACTTTCGCTCATCTTGCACATCTTTTGTTACAGGCAACGCATTTATGAGCTCCAAATAATTCAGAGCAAATATTTCGTTAGAAAAGGCGGTACGTGAGGCTAGAGGCTGCATCAACTTCCAACTATAGAACACAAAATCTAAATATTCGGCATATTCATTGAAACGTTGTATCAGAGCACTTTGTGACTTTATTGGTGAAATAAGTTTTTGAAGAATACTTCGCAGACGATGCTTTTGAAATTTGCTAGGCTCATCTGACTTTTCTAATGGATAGTTTCCTTCAGCTGCCAACAATTTCATGCTTGACACCAAAGCTTGTGTTGCTTCAACAGATTTTTCATGTTCGAAAGAATTAAGTATCAAATTCAGAGACTCTTCGTAGCGTTGTCGTAACCATTCGCGATATTTCGTTTCAGGACCATCATCTAATATAGAAAATTTTGAAAAACTCACAGATTAAGTATTTATTAATCATGCGATACCTTTTGGCTTGAGGGGCGCATTATCAATGCACATTTCCCGCCTCTTTAATAATTCCACAAATATCACTTCCAAAGTCAGAACAGCAGCAGTAATTGACCGTTTTTCTCGAACACAATTCTGAAGGATGAAGCAAATTAATTTATATTTAGCTAAATGCTTACCTATTACATTACATATATCAACATATTAGGCGGAAATAAATCACTCAGTATTTGGTTTCCTTCCTCACCTGAAAATGCTCGATAATATCGACCAGATTATTAGCATGGCGTCGTGAATTAAGGAAATCATTGGCCTTTGCACGCAACTCCTTCGATATCTGGCTGCGTATACCACTGGGATTTGTAATCGATGAGGCTGCACCTACAGCCGTGGCCATGTTTGAAAGCGAGACAGCTGGTAATTACTTGAGCGAAGACTTTAATAATACGTATTCCTAATATTCTACAAAAGGTGCTGTTTAATAGGAGATTGCGTTGTAAATTTCTTGCACAACAAAGTAGCGAAAGAAATATGATTGTAAAAAATAGGTTCAGCCACTTGATCAGCTAACGTGAAGGAAAAGGGGAAAAATCATGGCCGATTCGAGGAGCAACAACAATTTTATCTAAAAATGTGGTGCCATACTTGCTGTTATTTGTAAAGCTGAAGGTAAATAATTTTATTTGCTGCGACGTTGCGTTGATCCGTTGTTGCGTTGACGACGTTGAAAAATTTGCTGTTACACACCTTGCGTTGTAACGCTCATTGTTTTGTAAACAAAAAACAACTGATAAGCATATCCACAAATGTAATTTCAAATGTCAATGCATGAACGCAATAGAAAAGCAGCGAGCTGGTTTACTTTTGACGGCAACCGCGTTAACGCATTCGTAACGGCGTCGTCTGTAACAGCTGTCATACAAATACACGTGTTCAACTTTATTTGACATTTACGGCGAGACGCATTTGCCGGCGAACGTATGTTGTGTATCTTCGCTTTAAGAAGACTTTTATTTTTTATTTTCAGTAACTCAAAGTGCCTTTTTAAGGAATTGTAAATAACGCGAGTACATTTTTACTCTTCACGGCTTTTAGTTTCATATTTCATCCCGTTATACTTTGAGTTAATTTCAATGTCGCCAAAAGACAAGATTCGAGCTTTTCAGGCTTTTCCACCAAACTAAACGATGTCTACTCTGAAGGATTCTGCAAAATGAAAAAAAAAAACCTGTCAAACAACAAAAATGTGAGAAATCTCGCAAACCGCACGGTATCCGATAAAAATTACCCTTCGCAATTTTTGTGGGATCACGCACGCGAGATTTTGCACCACGTGAAGGCGGCCAGTTAATCTGGCAACTACCATTTTGTAATGACATTTTAGAAGTCAACACGTTTTGCGAAGCCCAGGTGAAAACAGTACGTCTCCAAGTACAAAACGTAAACAAATACCATCAAAACAAAAAATGAATTTGGCCACGGACTTTAAACAAATCCCAACACGGGCAACATTAGCATTACAACGGAAAAATCAAACTAGTGACTTTCAAGCACTCATATTTGAAGATCCCACAAAACCTCTGCCCCCGACAAAGGACAATACATTGGAGATACCACAGAATCCCGATGGGGTTGTTACCAAAAGAAGCAAATCTAAAGATGAACCGGAGGAATTCGATATGAAGAAAGCTCGCAATGAAGTACTTCGATTTGCTATGAACAACCAGCGAGTTATCAAAAACAAAAAGAAAATGGAAACATTCCAACTTATCAAAATGGGGGCAAAGCCACCAAAGAAAGAGTATAAAAACTACAAAGAGCTATTAGGCGAACGTAAGCGTTTAAAGCAAATTCGGGAAGAGCGTAAGAAATTCCATCAGTTGGGCAAAAATCAGACAGGTGCTGCTTCTGTGAAATGCCGGAGTAAATCAAAGATGAAGAAACAGCAAAAGAAACGTGCTCCTGTAACCGCAATAGACCAGAATTATGGTGTTGTTAAGCCAAAATTAAAGAAAAAGAAATGAAATATGAAATAATTTCAATAAAGTGAAAATTGTATATGTAATATTGTAATTTTTTATGTTAATGGAAGGCACCAAGACAAATTTTCCTTAGTTATCGGAAGCGTTTTCTGAGAAATATAGCGCAAGTGAAAAACTTAAATATTCAAATAGTTATCAAATATTTTCGCTTATTGTAACCTGACAATGGTCCAAGGATAATAGTCTTGTCCTGAACTCCACTAAGTCATATGTATTACCAATTTCAAAGAAGAAACTTAATATTACTGCCATACCCCTTTTAGTTATTGGTAATATGTAAACCATTACAATTTGTAGATAAAATCACCAATTTGGGCTTTATAATTAACCCGTCTTTGACCTGCACTGATCACATAAATTGTATGGTACTCTCAGAAGTCTACACCAAAATGCAGTAATTACTAGTAAGCGTTTTTTGTTAATAACTTTTGATCAGGTAAAAAAGTGAATTTCCGGATTCTTGTTCCTGGAGTCCAGGCGCGTTTAATAGTACCCTCATTCCTAAATTTTGAATAATTTGGGGGTTGACAGCCCACCTAGGTAATTACCCTAATGTTCTCTTCATACATACCAATTTTTGTTGTACTAAACAAGAACACAAATCTTATTGTACTAATGTAATTCTTTGCTGATAAATAAATATTAAAATAAACAAAGAGTTCGATGAAATTAATCGATTGTATTTTACATGACACTAAAGTTCGATTCCATTATTTCTAATGCATCTCTGCAAAATTTTCAAAAGTCATTATTCAGCTGTGATTACGTGAACTGGATTTTATTTTTAGCGAGTGCAAAATATTGCCAAAATCCTTAAATTGTTTAAAAGGAGATAATGTTCCGTCACCCGTGTTCTCTGTGTACAATTGCCCGTCGGGGATATACCCAGGCAGCAGGAGTGAAAACCCCACAAAGCTCCAGTAGCAGTGCCAGTGTCAACGCTAATGTGCCTGGCTTAAGCAGCAAAATTGTAAAGCCATCATCTACACCATTGGGTCCCGGCGCTTCTCACACTAGTGAATATAAGGTCCCAGAGTACTATTCCTTCAACCGTTTTAGTTATGCCGAAGCTGAAGTAGAAATTGCGAAGTACCGTCTGCCACAACCCTCGGCAAACAAAAAGTGAAATGTGTGGCCGTTGTACGAAAACGGAAGAAATTGCGAAAATAAAGTCTTAATTATTTAAAATTAAATTTTATTCATTGTGTACAAACTATTATTAATGTTATGAAAGTATGTGAATTGAAGTTTATACAATCATCTCCAGTTCACGGGCATAGAAAATAGCTTGCTCTGCCAACTCAACAGATGGTAACGCTTCTTTGGGTTTTGCAACTTTTTCTACGAAATTGTAAACACCATCGGAGCCTAAATTCCAGTTTCGTTNTGACTTTTCAATGCAAGCACCGATTTCGTCACGCACGGTATTAAGCAGGATGTCCATAAAATGATTATAAATTTCCGACGGTGCTGAACTCTACAAACGTAAAAATAAAATTTTCTTAGTACCTACATACAGTATTATTCGACGCAATGTACAATATTAGCGAATACCTTTGCCTGGAAAATTTTATTGTATCGTCCCTCCATTATATATTGTTCCAAAGCTAAAATTGGACGAATATATTTGTTATTCTGAATTGTATCTGCTGACAAAAGTTCTAATTCGGTGTGGAATTCAGAAACTCGGTTTACTGAAAGCAAGTATAGTAGATTTATACCCAGTAATTTGTACATATTCTCAGACTCGCCAATTTGTTGCCTAAAATTTAACGAATTATTAGAAGTATAAATAATTTCTTTTTTATCAGTTTAATTTTACGTACTTATAGT